GTCTTGATTAGCAAACCCAGGATAGGCACTATACATTACAAACGTACTCTATTATGTGTGGAGCTTGGTTATGTAGAAGAAAAGAATGCTGTTTGTCTGTATTTTACGTAATAACAAAAACAAACAAAGATATTTGCAACACGTAACCAGTTGCGCACGCAGAGAGATGAGAATTTCACTCTTGACACGTTTAAAAAAAGCGATCTAGTGTCAGTTGTTCTGGAGGAAATTTCACTAGCAAGTGCTCTTTGATGTTCTTCTCCAGGCACCAGAAATCGCAGAGAGATAAGAATCTCACTCAATCCTGTTGGCAAACTGGGCTTTGTAGCCGGCGACTTGGCTTATTAGCCGGCGGATTTTACTATATAAAATTCCGTCCCAAACTGATTTGGGTAAATACGCGGCTGGGCTTATTAACGGTGGGCTTAATAATCGGCGACTGCTGTATTTGCATCCATATTTGTCATAACAACCTAAAATGATTTGTTAACGCTCACTCATGTCTTTCCAATTTTAGTCTACTGTCAATTACCTCTCGCAATGTCCTACTTCCTTAAATCACCCATGTATATGTTTTTCCACGTACTCTGGTAGGATATTAGGTAATCCAACCCTGAAGCTTTGGTGGACGGTATTTTACCATTCATTAAGCCGTCTTTTTCTTTCACTAATTCTAGAAAATCGGGACACTTACCAGGAATATACAAAAAACTTGTTATGCCTGGGGCGACTGTGTAAGGGTTTCCATGTTAATGGTTGCGCCTAAAACCAAAGTCGGCCGTGACTGATCTGCTACTGATAAATTTCAACCGAACTGTCTAGACATACTCTGTCTGAGCCAACAAATCCACGCGCTTTCCATCGGATATTATTCTAACTTAGCAGTTTTTAAAAGTCAAATTATGTAAACACTCAGCTTCGGAAGATATAAAGTCTCTGGGCTCTTGGCCCTACTTATGTGTTGTTTAAATTTATCAATGACCAAATTTGTTAAACTCGAATATAACACACTTGCACACTTTTGGTTTTGAC